GTTCAGTGGCTCTTAGCTACGCTCAAACCAGGAGGAGGATAATTATATCTTGCAGCTGTATATGTGGTATAGCAGTTCTCAGACAACATGGTATAGAATGTGCAACTTTTCCCCTTTTAGCAGAGCGTTAATAATGGCCAGAGTGTGTTTTGTCTTTGATACCTGCCTTTTTGAGTATTGGCTACTCATATTTCACTGTGATTTCTTTTTTCTTTTTTTTTTTTTTTTTTTTTTTTTTTTTTTTTTTTTTTTGGAGTTTCGCACTGTTGCCCAGGCTGTAGTGCAGTGGCGCAACCTCAGCTAACTGCAATCTCTGCCTCCTGGGTTCAAGCAATTCTCTTGCCTCGGCCTCCCGAGTAGCTGGGACAACAGGTGTGCACCACCACACCCAGCTAATTTTTTTGTATTTTTAGCAGAGATGGGGTTCCACCATGTTGGCCTGGATGGTCTTGATCTCCTGACCTCGTGATCCGCCTGCCTCAGCCTCCCAAAGTGCTGGGATTACAAACATGAGCCACCACTCCCAGTCTTCACAGTGACTTCTTAGAGAGAATTACCAAACGTTATTTACAAGGCATTGAGTACAAGTATGTACAGAGCCTCATGCGGAAGAAACAGTGTGACAAAGGCAAGACTCCTGCACTTCAGCAGCTTAGCAGCTGGCAAGGGAAATAAGATAGTCTATGGGTAACCTTATTGCAAGGCAGGTTTACAAATACCATGGGAGAGCTGCTATTTGGGGAACAAGATCGGAAGAAATTGATTCTAGCCAGAGTGATTCTGGAAACCTGTATGGAGGAGGTAATGTTTGAGCTACATTTTTAAGCACAGGCGGATTTTTGGAAAGTTCTAATGGGAAGGAGGTTGAGGAATTTCAGGAAAAGCAAAGGAAGCATGGGAAGGATGAAGAGATGTGTCGCAGGCACAGAGAAGGTTTGGCTGCTGACAAAGACTGCATGCAGCCTGGTGGATTGTGATGTGTGGGCAGCAACTTAGTGCTCTGATTCTATGGAGGAGATTCACTGGAGAGTCTTGTCTATCATATGGAGTTTGAGTGCAGAGGAATTCTGTGACCCCAGTCAGCTGATCTTCATCTGTGCCTGCCTCCTTGAAGGCATTCCAAGCCTGCCTCTCATTGCTCTTTGGGAACTTTGCCTACGCAGAGTGTTGTCAGAGAGTAATCTGAGACACTTGATGCCTGTTAAACTAATTATGCTTCAGTCCTCAGAGTGCCGCGGTGCTCTCAATCCTGAGTGCTCAGCAGATTTTATGTAGTGTCTGAATTATTAATGGGGAAGATATGGAAGAGGGTGCTTGGCTGCTTGCTCCATTTTGAGCAGGTCTTGGGTGAGTGGTATTACAGGAAGAGAAGCAGCTGCTTGCAGAGGGATGGAGGAAGCAGGTCTTCCTGAGGAGCCCTGCCCAGACCGGAGCCTGTGTCAGTATGCTCAGAAAATCACAGCCTGCTTTGGAGGGATGGGTAAGACCCCTTAAACATTGGGCTTTGCAGAGAAGAGGCCCAGGGCTGACCATGCAGAGGACTGAACTTTAGGACTTGCTGGGAGCAGGGAAGTCGCTGCTGAGCAGGAGAACCTCACACGGACCGAGTTGTCACTCTCTGGAAGTCCAGTTGTACCCCCTTTTCCTAGCCTTCCCACTTAATCTGTTCTGTTTAGCAGCAAAGATCATCCTGACTTGTGAGCAACTGCAGGTGTTTCTGGAAGGTGTGCTGAGCTTTTTCTGTTTGTTCATTTTGGTTAAAAATAACAAACAAAAATGAAAAGTAACCCTATTATCACCAAAGAAGCCATAGGCTAACTGCAGACCATTTCCTTAGCAAACTAAATTCCATCAATATTCACATTGTAAGGTGGTGATTTGCTCTCTGTGAAAATTTTATTTCTTAGTGAGGAACAAGTAGATCCTAGCAGATGATTTAAACCAGGAGGGGACACTTGTCTGAGAAAAAGACTTAAATCATTATATAGAACAAAGTTAAAGTCTGTGTTCATTTGCGGAGAATCACTGTGACTGATGAAAAAAGAGCAGTCATTGTGGCATCTGTTCCCTGAGCACTTTGTAGCCCCAAAACGACTGGTTTCGGGCTGGGGCTCATCACATCAGGTGTTTATTGAGCTCCTTCAGCGAGCAAAGGCTGGGTGCCTTCGGTGCCCCTTGGTGAATTTTCCCACTGATGGTTCATTTTCATAATTTATCATAGTAGAGCTTGACTAGGTACAGTGGAACTGCTGGTAGAAAGATCAGGAATTTCCTATCTGGTAAGATACACAGGCCAGCAAAATCTTGGGCAGAAGTTCAACGTTTGTAATTATCGTTAGCTCTGTGATGTGGTACATTGTAATAGCTTATCATAGAACCATAGAGACGGTCAGAAAACCCACTCCTTTGTGATTGCTGTAACTGTAGTTTTATGTGGGCTGTGGCAGGAGGCAGCAATGAAAGACCTGAATCCACTGGTGCTCCTTTAGGGTCTTCCCCAGCTGTGCTTTCCCTGGTGAAGAGGTTGCTGTTAGGCAGCTACCACTGCAAGCCTATTTTTAAGACTGGAGGTTTGGCCTCCGCTGGGTATTTAACCTGAGCATGTGGAGGAGGGTACGTGAAAAGCTCTGAGCACCTGGAGAGAAGAACTTAGTTCACAGGGGTCTGCAGTCACTACTGCCAGCATCTGAACTCGCATCTCCGCTGCCTGAGAATGGAGTCAGCTGCCTCACATTTATATGTAGTTTGGTTGTCTTTAAAAGCAGGCAAACATTTGTTATTCTCATCGGCCCTCTTTATGATCCACATGTAGTTTACTTTCCATCCTGAACTAAAATTCTTAAATCAGATCAAAATTCTTATGTATAATTCTATTATTAAGAATTTATTTTTGGCTGGGTGCAGTGGCTCACGCCTGTAATCCCAGCACTTTGGGAGGCCGAGGCGGGTGGATCACGAGGTGAAGAGATTGAGACCATCCTGGTCAACATGGTGAAACCCCGTCTCTACTAAAAATACAAAAAATTAGCTGGGCATGGTGGTGCGTGCCTGTAATCCCAGCTACTCAGGAGGCTGAGGCAGGAGAATTGCCTGAACCCAGGAGGCGGAGGTTGCGGTGAGCCGAGATCGTGCCATTGCACTCCAGCCTGGGTAACAAAAGCGAAACTCCGTCTCAAAAAATTTAAAGCAAAAAAAAAGAATTTATTTTTTCCTTTCACAGTCTCTTAAAAGACAGTTGCATCTTGAACTAAATATATGGATCTGTAAACTTGTTAAAAAAAAATTTAGGAGTGTCCTATGTATGCTCTGCAGATACAATGGCTAAGCATTGAGGCAGAGTTAATGCAGTGGAAATAGTTTTTGTGGGCAATGCTTGATGAGTTTAGGGACCAAGAAAGCAAAATGGCTTTGTTATGGAATAGTTATCTTTTTTTTTTTTTTTGAGGTGAAGTCTTGCTCTGTAACCTAGGCTGGAGTGCAGTGGCACAATCTCGGCTCACTGCAACCTCCACCTCCCAGGTTTAAGCAATTCTGCTTCAGCCTTCCAGGTAGCTGGGATTACAGGTGCCCACCACCACACCCAGCTAGTTTTTTATTTTTTTATTTTTAGTAGAGATGAGGTTTCACCATGTTAGTCAGGCTGGTCTTAAAACTCCTGACCTCAGGTGATCTGCCTGCCTCGGCCACCCAAAGTGCTGGGAATATAGGTGTGAGCCACTGCACCTGGCCTAGTTACCCTTTTTCTTGGTAAGGATGATGCTGGGTTTGAAGGAAACAATCTCTTTTCTGTCCGAAGTCTATGTGTATTACAGCTAGTGCTCGACTTACGACCACGATTGGTTCCGACAGACCGGTCGTAACACGATTTGGTCGTAAATTGAGTAGGCTATATGCATGCGGAGATGGTAGTGCTGCCGGAAGCTGGTCCACAGTGTCGTACGCCCAGCTGGGCAACGTTTGCGCTGCCAGACATGGAGCAGTCGTGGCTAGCGATTGTGGTCGTAAAGTCGAATGGTCGTAAGTTGCATAGGTGGTAAGTCGATCAATATCTGTAATTTTTTTTCCAGTTGTATATCTTTTTTTTTTTTTAATAGTTTTGGAGGAACAGGTGATGTTTGGTTACATAGATAAATTCTTTAGTGGTGATTTCTGAGATGTTGGTGCACCCATCATCCGAGCAGTATACACTGCACCCAATGTGTCATCTTCTCTCCTTCACCCACCTTTTGAAAAGCATTGATAGAACATCTTACATTGTATATCTGAAGGTTCTTCGAAATAGGCAAGCAGGGAAAAGAACACAGACAGATTGTTTTACCTGCTTTGTAAATTGTTTTTAGAGGAAGACTTTGGAGGTTGGTGTTGGGCTTAATTCCCAGAATTTTGGAGCAGAAATTTTGAGATGTGACTTTGGTAGTGGTGGAAGTCCTATGTTTCTGTTTTCCCCAAGTCCGCCTCAGTCTGAGTGCCTCTAGACAGCGTCTGTTTCTTCCATTCCCACCATGCTTCCCATTGGCATAGAATAATTCTAGCACATTATTGGCTTGGAAGTCAGAAGACCTGGCTCCACCCTAGGCTTTCTGCATTGTCATGAGAAAGTCACATCTTCTCTGGGACTGACCTTCCTCATCTTAAAGGCTGGCATAATCTGGAGAACATTTAGAAACATAAGTTCCTGACCCCTATGTACAAAGAATCTCCAATTTTTTAAATATATTTTTCAAAAGTTCTACAATTTTTTTTTTGAGACAGAGTCTTGCCCAGTAACCTGGGAGTACAGTGGCACAATCATAGCTCACTGTAACCTCAAACTCCTGAGCTCAAGCAGTCCTCCTGCCTCAGCCTCCCAAGTAGCTGGAACTACAGATGCAGGACACCACACTTGGCTAATGTTTTATTTTTTTATTTATTTTTCTGTAGAGACAGAGTCTTGCTATGTTTCCAGGGCTGATGTTGAACTGGGCCTTGAGCAATCCTCCCACCTCACCCTCCCAAAGTGCTAGGATTACAGACGTGAGCAACCACATGTGGCCTACAGATGATTCTTATGCACAGCAATATTTGGGAACTGCTGGACTAGACTACCTTTGATGGCCTTGTCAGCTCTATAATTCTATTGTGGGGTTTTAGTGAAAAGAAATTTGTGTCAGAACATAATAGTCCAATGACAGAAGGAGTATGAGTTTATTCATTTTCACTTGTGACTTTTGTATGGTTGTAACGGTCACATATTGTACTTCATCTTACTGTGTGGATGTTAAAGAGTAAATGATTACTGGGGTTGTCCTTTTTATTTCAATATGCTAATTCTGTGAAGGTCCTTCTAGCTTGTAATTTTGTGAAAACCCAAAGCTACCTACACATTAATTCTGTCTCCATCATATGATTCTGCAATCACAGAAAACCCATGAAACAACTTTAAGACAATAAACATTGGCTTAGTGGAATGAGGCAGAAGGATTTTCCTGGTACTAAGACGAGGGATCCTCCTCTAGAAAATGGAAAGGAAATGATTGTTTACTATGGCCTAGAGCTGGATTTATCATGAGTTGAAGCCGCGGATCTTTAATCAAGTCCCCCACCCACCCCACCTGTGAGATCTGAAATACTGGAGAACTTGGAATTATTACCCTGGGATTTTTCTGATAGACATTTTTAGATTATGTAAGATATATGTATATATCCCTACCCCTATTCTCAGTACTCTTACCAGATGATACTGAATATTCTAGGGGTATTTGCAGGAGAATTCTTTTAGATATTGCAGCTATATTCTTTCTCTTGTTCTGGATATTAATCTAATTTTCAAATATGCATTCATGCTTGAGACTGACAGGCTCAAGTTCCTGGCAGTGGCTGTTTCTGCACCTAGTCATCTGACTGAGAATATGGGGCCCTAAGCTGTTGAGGGTAATCACTTAAATACATCTCCCTTAATCTTCTTTGCTGGGCAGTGAGAAAAGGAGACAGTAAGGAGCCAGGGGAACGGAGAGAATTGTGGGGAAACTCCGCTCCTTGAGCTCCTGCTGCCTATTTTTCATTTCTTGGGAATCCATGCCAAGATGCCTTCCTTCCTTGGCCTAAAGTGTCTGGGGAAATTGTGCAGCTCTGAGAAAAGCAAAGTCACCTCATCTGAGAGAACCAGTGCCAGGGGCTCGAACAGAAAGAGACTGATTGTTGAAGACTGGAGGGTATCTGGGACCTCCTTCCCCGCTCACAGGCGTGCCACTGTCACTCAGTTGCTGTATCTCTGTCCCGAGGACTACTGCCCACGTGGGCACATATGTAACAGCGTTGATCCTTTTGGTAAGTAAAATAACCCACTCTGGACATGGTTTTGTCTTTTGTGATTGGCGTGATTAAGAGAGTACTATCCAGCTCATTCTTCTGTAATGTGTTCTTCAAAGGAAACACTATCCTTAATATATAATTAATGGGAGTGAGGGTGGGAGAGATGGAGAATGTAAGCACAGCTATGGAGCTAAATTCCAAGGGTATTTTTGTCCAGGATCTTAAGATCTTCAATAACAAATGTATCTCTTTCCAAACATTGTATGAATAATTGTCAGTAATAGGAAGTATGATGGAAAAGAAAGATCTCTATCCATAGATGCTGTCCTTTCATATGACAAAGAATAAATGGAAAGGAAGTATTCAAGGCCAGAGATGGACGCCAGCAAAAGATGACCTAAGTAAAGCTGAACTCTAAATTGTGTCACCGTGTAGGGAGCACTCATCTTGTGAAATGTTCTAAAAAAATAAAAAATGAAAAGCCTTTTAATATCCATAGAACTTGTTGAGGCTTCTTTTCAGTGAACCTCATTAAAACATGTCAGTCATCCCTCTGCCTGGGAAAGAGGTGGACAAGGCCCACTCTGAGGTTAGTGTTACTGCACTTGGGAGTTTTCAGACCTGGAAGTTATCATGGTGCCTTTATTAATGAAGATGATACCTACCCAACCGCTCACGCCTTGTCAAAGTCAGCACTAGAATTAGTACAGGAAGCAGAAGGCAATTAGCCGTGGTCCCTACAAGTGTATGAAGTTGAATCAAATAAACCAGGAAACATAACATATTCCTCATCATTCTTGGACAGCCAGAGAGTTGGATTGGATTCAGTTTAGCTGAAGTAAGGGAGTTAAGATGTTCCGTTTTGTTGCAATCAGCTTTCAATAGCTTTGTTGAGTGATAATTCATATGCTGTAAAATTCACCCATTTAAAGTCTACAGTTCAGTGGGTTTTAGTATGTAACTGATGTGTGCAGCCATTACCATGGTGAATATTTTCATTGCCTCAGAAAGAAACCCTGTACTCTTTAGCTATTGCCTCCCCACCTCAACCACTTCATCCCCACCTCCCAGCCTTAAGAAATCAAAATCTACTTTCTGCCTCTTAGATTTCCCTACTCCGGATATTTCATGCAAATGGAATTTATAATATGTGGTCTTTCGTTTATGGCTTCTCTCACTTAGCATGTTTTCAGGGCTCTCCCATGTTGTAGCACGTGTCAGCACTTTATTCCTTGTTATGGCCAAATACCATTTCACTGTATGGATATTTCACATTCTGTTTCTCCTCTCACCAGCTGATGGACATTTGGGTTGTTTCCAACTTTTGGCTGTTATGGATAATGCCCCATGCATATCCATATACAAGGTTTTTTTCTTTTTTTCATGTCAGATGGGTAATGTCCCAATGTCATAACAAGGTTTGAGGGTGGCACTCCTCACACATGCGTACATGAACACATCAAAAGGATCATCATATACAAGTTTTTATGTGGACATATGATATGTTCAGCACTCTTGGGTATATACCTAGGAGTGGAATTTCTGGGTCATATAAAAATTCTATGTCTTACCTCCTGAAGGACTTCTAGATTATTTTACAAAGTAGCTGCTCCCTTTTACATTCCCACCAGCAGCAAATGAAGGTTCCAGTTTCTCCACATTCTTGGCAACATTTGCTGTTATGTGACTTTTTTGGGGGATGGAGTTTGGCTATGTTGCTCAGGCTGGAGTGCAGTGGTACAACCTCGGCTCACTGCAACCTCTGCCTCCCAAGTTCAAGTGATTCTCCTGCCTCAGCCTCCCAAGTAGTTGGGATTACAGGCACGTGCCAGCACACCTGGCTAATTTTGTATTTTTAGTAGAAATGGGGTTTCACCATGTTAGCCAGGCTGGTCTCAAACTCCTGATTTCAGGTGATTGGCCTGCCTCTGCTTCCCAAAGTGCTGGGATTATAGGCGTGAGCCACTGCGCTCTGCCTTATCTGACTATTTTATTCCAGCCATCTTAGTGGATGTGAAGCGGTATCTCACTGTGACTACACAGAGCTTTGGCTGGGACAGAGAGGGCTGACAAGCAGATCAGTGCTCAGGGAGGACAGGATATTCACTCCAACGGCTGCTGATGGTGACAGCTCCTTCTCTCTTACTCTGAACAGTCTTCTCTTCATGATTCCAGGCTGCATCTCTTTTTACGAGAGCAGGGAATGGGAATGGAGAAACCGTGCTTTCTGCCCAGCATGCTTACAAGCTATGCTAAGAACTTTGTTCCGAACCTACTGATCATGCCTATTGCAGCGAGGGACACTTCCCTCAAAAATCAGATCCTCATACTAGTGGATACCTAGAATCCCTTTACTGAGGAGAAAAGTGTTTTATTCCACAAATAGGAATAAAAGTGAAACATGTAGATTTCTGCCGGAGCTAACACTTTATTGTGAATGACTTCAGTGCTTCTGTGGAATGTTTCTACTCAAAGAGACTCAAATCAGATGTGCTTGGAATGAGCCACTGTTGCTCCTGAAAGAGATAAGATCTGTTGGGAGGAGGAGGCAGCCAAGGGGAAGCCAGGTAAGTTGCAGTTGAATGAAAGCATGCTGGATAGTGACTTATCAGCAGTTTCTGTCATGAGGGAAGAAGAGAATTAACAGGATCAGAGAGAGTTCTGGATGCAGGAAAGGTAATCTCATTGGGATATCCATATCTTAGTGGAGGCAGATTAGGAAATCTGGGAGATTAGTTAAGTGTGTGGCTTTGAGGTTGGACATTCCAGAGTTTGACTCCCAGCTCCTCTACTTACTTAATGTGTTACTTTGGGAAGTTAGTGATTCCAAGTGCATTTCTCTGTAAGGTAGGCAGGGAATGCATACCTTATATGACTGCTTTGGGCAGGCCTATCCCTAGAGTAGATGGGGCCCTGGGCAAATATTTTTTGTAGGGCCCCTGTCTGTATAAACAATTTGAGTCACCCCAAATCAGTGTGTCAACAGCTCAATCTTTTTCAATCACGGGAAAGAAACGCCACACCAGCCTGAGGTAGTGATTGCTTGGTAGGCTTGTCCCCTAGAATGGAGCCAGCTCCAGGGCCCCAAGAAGCTCCATTGGCATGACTCTTGGGCTCCTTGGGGCATCTGGCCAACCCCTTGCACAGCATGGGAGAGATGCAGAGGATCACTAGAGAAATCTGTGAAGAGGAGGCACAGATTCCTCATCCAGACAGCACTGCTGGCCCCAGCGATCCCGTGTACCAGAGCCCACTTGGACATTTTTGAGGCAGGAATGGGGTTAGGGCAGGGCTCTGCTTGCCCATGCCTAAGGGTAGTATTGATTATGAGGACTAAATGAGAACCTGGCTGGGCATGGTGGCATGTGCCTATAGTACCAGCTATTTGAGAGGCTAAGGCAGAAGGATCATTTGGGCCCAGGAGTTCAGCCGGGGCAACATTGCGAGACCCTATCTCAATGTTAAAAATTGTAAATAAAGATAAAAATAAATTTAAAGAATGAGAACTTGCATATCAAAGTGTTTGGTATAGTGGCACACAAATGCATCCACTAAATGTTAATTTCAGTAATAATTATAGACTTGCAATATAGTCAGCATTAGTCATTTTGGACAGTCTCTACAGAGGCTGAATTTAAAAAATAAAATGAGAAAAAATCGTTTATTGTTGTTAAAAATAGTGATTTCTATTGTTTGCCTTCCATGCTGTGAAACAATAGAGGCCCAGGACTATAGATGCAGCACAGGACGTGGGATTCCCAGGAAGCCACTGTGTGCTCGAGCATCCTGTTTAGGACAGGTGCCTGGAGGAAGTGCGCCCTCCTGCAGCCATGCTTGTTCCTGTGCTATGAAGCACCAGAGAGTTCAGGAGCAGCTCCTCGCAGGGTGCTTGGGAATATTTGGCAAAGGCCTCTTGCAGCTGCCAGAAAGATCTCAAGATGCTGTAGCTTCCTGCTGTTGTCTGGTGCTCAACCCCTACTTGGAGTTGTGCTGGGCTCCTTGATTTTCCAAGTGTCCCCTTGCGTATTTGTCCTTTGTCATGCTCAAAACAACCCTTGGATGTTGCAAGGGAAGAAACTGTTTTCCTCATTTCTCAATAGCAATGAATTAGCAAGAAGATGGAAAAGTGGACAAAACAAATTTATCAGTGAACATACAAAACAGCTTCTGCAAAAATATGTCAGTGAACATATGTCAGTGAAACAGATCTGTGAACATATAAAACAGCTTCTGAAAAAATATATCAGTGAACGTATATCAGTGAAATAGATCAGTGAACATACAAAACAGCCTCTGCAGCTTCTGGTTGTAGATGTAGTACTGTTCTAGAAGAATGGCTGTCATTCACTGGGGGCTGCTACATCTCAAACATTGTGATAAGCTTCTTTTATGGTTTGGCTTTGTTTTAGAGACAGGCTCTCCCTCTGTCTCTCTGGCTGGAGTGCAGAGAGGGCTCTGCACTGGAGTGAAGAACAGGGCTCACTGCAGCCTTCACCGCTTCAGCTCAAGCGATCCTCTTGCCTCAGCCTCTCATGTAGCTGGGACTACAGGCACATGCTACCATTTCTGGCTAATTCTTTGGGTTTTTTTTTTTTTTTTTTCTTTTGTAGAGACAGGGTTGTCCAGGCTGGCTGGTTTCAAACTTCTGAGCATTAAACAGTCTTCCTGCTTCAGCTTCCCAAAGTGTTGAGATTATAGGTGCAAGCCACCACACTGCCCTGTGCCAAGTGTTTTATGATTTTTCCATGTTTGATATTCTCAATAACTCAACAAAGCAGGAATTACTTTTATTTCATTTTGCAGAGAAGGAAACTGGGGCATATGCAGTTAGGAGACCTGCCAAAGATCACTAAAGTACTCGATTTGGGCCCAGGTGTGCCTGACACCCAGGTTCATGGTCTCAACCATGATACCATTCTGCCTCAGTCCGAGGAGCGTAAGAGTGGGTCATTCGTGAGGTATGCTGAATGCTGACACACCTAAAGTTTATAAATAATATTGCTAATTAAGTACTT